TTCGAGAAAATCGCATTTTTATATTTTTGTAGTTCCAACTTTCACCGCTAGATGGACGCCAATTTTTTAGTCCATGTTTTGCCCTATTTTTTTATTTTTTTTTCTAGCGCTCTGAGGAGGTTCTTGTGGCATTACATAGATTCTAGGGAGGTCACAGAACAATTTCTGACCCTCAGAAATACGTAAAATTGCCCAATTTCCGAGAAAATCGAAATTTTAGTTTTTCGTAGTTCCGCCGCTCGCCGCTAGATGGCGCCACCTGTGCCGTTTTGGACCAAATTCGATAAAAATTGATTTTCTGGCTTTATTAAGCATCAAAACGCATCAAACCCTAATAGAAATTTGTTTCTAAATGCCTCAGGAACCATACTACGTCGTCGAAGTGCCAAAATATTCATTTTTTTATTTTCCCTATATGCGTGTTCGGACCCTCAGTTTTTAGGATCAGTTTTTTCGGTGATTATTCGTTCGTGGCAAGTCCGATTTAAAATTTTTTTTTTCTATGTTCATCTGGATGTTCATACGCATGTGCATGCAAAATTTGACGAGAATTGGTTGAGTGGTGCAAAAGAAAAACGCGGATAAAGAAGTTGCAAAGCCAAGTATAAGAGCTTCGCTCGCTATAAGTAAACGTTAGAGATGTAAATTTATAATATACTTCGGTACCTGAGTACCCGAAAAGTATACGGCTATCGGTCAGATCCCTATATATATGAAATAATCTCGTCAAATAATTCTACAATTTCGATTGGAAAGTTAATTGCTAATAAACACATATTAAATATAAATTATTTGTAAGCTATTCCCTTCATTACCGACATTCAGTGGCAATGACCAGGAGATGATCACATCGGCTTTTCAATTGGGACTCTTGACTACTTCATGAGTAGATGATGAAGGATCATTTTTGTCTACTCGGCTATGTCATTTAATATCCGAGTTACATCCAATTCGATTTATATCTAATATTTGATACAGTAAAAATTGAAGAGGTTAGGAGTAAAGCAGCGTAGGCGACGGTACATTGCATGATTGCCTGTCTTTTAGGATGCTCGATCAATGGTGCAACTATCGTAGATTCGTTCGGGATGACTTCTGTCATGGTGAAGTTGTTAAATATATAATGACATCTAAACTAATGTTTCATATCTTCAAATTTTCTTTCTGATCTTAGTCTTAAAACTACCTGTACAATATGTTGTACTTCTCACATTTTTTTTAATAAGTTCTACTATTGTGTCCTGACGAAAGAAACGCAAAGAGAATGGCTCGACCGAAACACAGAATTAATACGGATATATGCGCTGACTGCGGAGCCCTTGGTAAATGAATTTTTCTCCTAATAACATGCTAAACATATTATTTTTATTTAACTCTTTTAATCATTTGTTATATTACATAACCAGGTGCCAATAGCAAGTATTCTTTTAGTTAACGAAAATTGTATAGTTTATTTTAAAAGAGGTTAATATCAATTACGTATTTACATATCACTTTGTATACTTTTATCAACATTATTTTAAGTTGTATAATATGTATGTTAAAAGACCATGTTTCATATGTAAATATTCATTATATTGTATAAATTTTTAATAAAATTAACATTGTTATTATTGTTATGACTTTTAATTATATAATTTTTATCATAATTGAATGTATACTTATTAATAATAAGAAATAATTGTTATGATTGATTTTAGAACCAGGATGGGCTTCATTGAACAGAGCTATTTTATTATGCGATGATTGTTGTGGTATACATCGTAGCCTTGGTCGACATATATCTCATATAAAGTCACTTCATAAGAGCACTTGGCATACAAACTTACTCAATGTCAGTAAACAATAATATAAAATATTCTATAATTTATATTTCCAAAAATCATTTTTAATGTTTTGTAGATGGTACATACATTAAATGATAATGGAGCAAACAGTATTTGGGAACATTCCCTCTTAGATCCTAATAATTCAAAAATCAATAGAAGAAAGCCACAGGCTAAAGACCCATTGCAGTTAGTATAGATTACATTGTAAAAAAATACAGGATATAATGCACTAATAATAATGATTCAATTACTATGTTTCACAGTCCAGTAAAGGCTGATTTCATTAAAGCAAAACATCAACATTCAGCATTTGTATTACGTCCAAGTAAAGAAGAATGTTGTAGTGAAGAAGAATTAAGTAGACAGTTACATAGTAGTGTTCGTACAAGTAATTTAGAAACTTCTTTAAGATTACTTGCACAAGGTGCTAATCCAAGTTATTTTTACAAGGTATTTCTAAATAAAATATTAATGTATATTTTAATAATAAAACATAAAATGTAGAACTGATGCTTATAGGAAAAAGGTACAACACCTTTACATGTAGCAGCACGAGCAGGACAGTCTTTACAGATAGAACTTTTAATAGCTAATGGTGGTAATCCTAATATGATTGATTTAAATGGACAGACACCAGCTGAGGTTGCCAAGTATGTATAGAGGGGGACATTGTTTAGATGTATCAATAAATTGTGTGCTTTTCAGAATGGCAGGGCATATGGAATTATCAGAGCGTATAATTGAATGTATGTATGAAGTAACAGACAGACTGACATATTATATATGTTCACGTAAACCAGATCATCGATTGGATGAGCATATAATTATTCCCGAATGTACATTTTTGATAGAACAAAATAATTTATGTTTAGAAGGAAGAAATAGATTACAAATGGTAAGTATAAACTAGAGAAATAAATGTATGTAGTATACAAGGTGATACTTTTTTTAAAATGCGAGTATAACATTTTGGCTGTTTTATTCAGTTATCAAATCATTTATTGGAGGAATTAGCAATGGATGTATATGACGAAGTAGATCGACGGGAGAACGAAGAAAGTAAGTAAATCGTTGTATTTTATAAATGACCAATTTATTTGAGCAATAAACACATTAATATTTAAAAGTAACATAGCGTAATATATGTAATTCTTGTATTTTATTCATGTATATATTTGATACATTATACTATTAATACATTTTACACTTTTTTTTATCGCATCACTTTGAAGGAAGGGTGAGTTAAATTTTAAAATTCCAGTTTTTTAATAATAGTTTTGAAGTTGTAGTTTGAATAAAAATATTTATATACTTTTAATAACAAAATAACGGATAAACAATAGAGAGCAGTAATAATTTTAAGCTTATATTTGTTTTAATAGTTTGGTCTACAACTGCAGCTTTACCAGAAAAATGTACAGTACCTTTTCTGCCAGTCAATCCACAATTATCATCTACAAGAAATCAAGGTAGACAGAAACTAGCAAGATTTACGCCGAAGGAATTTGCTACTCTGATCGTAGATTTACTCAATGAAGCTCGTAGACGACATATACTGGCAAATAATGCATCGTTACAAGGTTTGTAAAATACTACGTGTATCACAACTCACTTATTATATTTATGCATGTATCACTGTTAGATCCAACCGGTTCTGTGCTTCGCAAGGAGCAACTGGGAAAATATCGATCACAAATGTCCGATGATGAACCTTTATACGATAGCGTCGCTTCTGACGACGATTATGCGTTAATATCAACAGATAATACAGTGCCTGAATATTCAACACAGTTCAAAATGAATAACGAGGTATGCAATCAATTATTTTATAGCAAAATAAAAATAAATATTATAAATACGACAAATATAAAAAAAAACGGGCGCAAGTTATTGTTTAAAATAGATAAAATTGTGTGGTAACGTATTAAAGGTACCGGCTCTAGTTACGAAAAGAAGAATAAGGAATCGGCTAAGTACATGGCTCTTCTGTAGACAGTGCTATTAGGCAAGTGCACAGGTCTGTTAGTGCATGTGCAGCCTTTGCCAGAATTACATAAATTTAAATGTCATATATTATATTTAATGACTTGCATTATCTCACCTCTTTATAATTTATAATTTACTAAAATTTATAACACAAATTATGTGTTTTGTTATGTAACAATCACATAGAGTGACTCATAATATTCTTTCTTCATACAAAAGTAAAATCTCGAGGAATATATTAAAATACTATTGCAGGAAGCGTTTGCACCATTAGCCAAAGGGCTTCCATCCGTTGTAGAAGTTTTGAAAAAACAATTAACTCTTTCTGAATCCACCGTCAGGGATCTTCGTGAGCAGATGCATACTTTACAAAATACCATAGAGCAACTTACACGTGAAAATAATGAACTGAAACAAATGATTCATGTAAGACAATTATTTTACATTTACTTTATATTTTGAGGCTGAATATCTGATATACAAAATATACAGATGAAAGAATCCACCGACAGTATCGTTAATGGTCACGTTGGCGGAGAACAAGAACCGGAGTTGGAACCAGTACTTGATATAAAAACATCTCTTACCAGAAGCAATCAACGACCTGCATCTATGTATGAAACAAGAGAAGGTTTGAGGAAACCTACTTCATGGTCAACATCTATTTGTCAGGTATTAACAGTAAAACGCTATAACAATTTAATTATGAATTAATATTTTCTTATTTAATATTTTCGTATGTAAATGTAAAATACAGTCTAAACGAGATCCAGAGACGATATCCCGAAACAACACACAAAGTCTGTGGGAATGTGGTGCACCTACTCTTCCACCCAGTGAAGAAGTTACTCGAAGAACTGAACAAGTTACAAGAAGAATACAGGAATTGTGGATGGCCATGCAAGATCCGAAACAACGAGAAGCTTTCGTACCTTGTGCAGAAAGAATCAGAGTTGCTGTTGCAGAGCTTACAGCTATATTTCCTCAAGTAAGATTGCAATTATTTTTTTAGATACTCTACTGTTTAGATTTATTTATTATAATAAATTCCTCTTTTTTGTATAGAACCCTATTGAAGAAAATATCAGATCTGCTTTACGTCAATTGAACGGTAATACAGGGAGACTTCAGGCAGAATGTTCTGGTCTTCAAAGATATACTAGCGATATTGAACATATGGACCGCTGTCTTCAACAAGTACGTTCATGTGCTTATGACATTGCCAAAGCAACGAAGCTTCTTGTTACCCAATTTCAAACGTAACAAATCAAAGGCAAAGTATTACAATTTAAATAATTTTCTATACTCGATGTATATAAGTTGTACAGACACCTAAAGTCGTAATACTCAAAATCATCACAAACATTTAATAAGTATTCGTTTTATATTATATAAAGATAATTTGTTGTCTAATATTCATACGTTTATTTTAATGTAAATAATGCAAAATTTAACGCATGAACACTCGTATAGTTTGTTCAAATAATAAGAAACATGACATTCTCCAAGATTCTATATATATATATATGTATGTATGTATGTATATGTATATATATATATAGAAAGAGACTATAATTTTTAATGTCATAAAGACTGAGTAGCCACAAACCAATGAATTTTATTAATACGCAACTTAAGTTTATACACTTGATTTTATAAATGTAATTGTTGCTCATATAAGCTGGCATGTAAACAATTATTAATACGAAAAAAATTATTTTTCTTTATGTGATAAAAATGTTCAAGTGCAATATGGAATGAAAAGAGTAATTCTTACAAAACGTCTGTTAATAGCATGTAAAAATCCTGTGCATTTTAATTTGAATAATAAAAAGTATATTGAGCAATCATCAAATAATTATTTACGTTATAAATTGTATAATTGAACAGTTGGTTAATAATATTGTTGAATTATTAGTAATTTGTATACGATGGCAAATTATTTGTAAATAACTGATTCTGTTCGTAATTTGAGTTTTACTATGTTGATTAGTAAACCAGCTTATATTAAAGCATAACACGTGAGGTATTTACTGCCAGTAAAAATGAAAAGTATTTTATTTCATTAACTAATGTGGCCATGTGTAATCATTTTAACTGTGGTACATAAGTTAAGAATTTTGTTTGTAATATCAAAGGTAGGAATATATGTTTAACAGTTCAATAAAATTTAAATCTTATATCATTGTTCGCATAGTGTAGGTCTACTGGCAAATATAACTATTAAAATTAAATTACTTCCAAAGATTTTTATATGTCCAAAGATTATTAACTCTTAATTGTACATAAGTCAATCGCAACTGCATAGTAGTAATTTAAAATGCATGCAGCACCAGTATTGTTTTCATTGTATAACATTGTTCTCTTATATTTTTTGATCCGGAAATATTCCTTTGTAGGCGCGGTTTATTTTAAAATTGAATAATAAAGTCATTTCTGTTTTAATCATCGTTACATACTCACACTTATTTATGTGACAAATGGTTTGTTTCTTGGAAAAAGTTATTCAGGATCATCTTAATGCGGTTCTCGCACCAGTTCTGGGATACCTTATATGTGCTATAATAGATATGAAATGAGAACTGCATAACGACTAACCGGTCTGCCTTGTTAAAAAGATGTAGAAGTTTATGGAAAATTCTGTTTTGCACACGCGTCTTATGGATGCGTGCACAAGATATTATTGCATGTAGAGAAATTGAAGTCTGCTCAATTGATTCGAAAAGAATTTCCCTTCTCAATTGCTGAATTGTTTGTGTCATCAAAATATGTATAACAGAGAGCGTGAATGAGTAAAGGTTTTCAAAATGTCGCGCGCAATACCGGTTAATAAATGATTCCGTGTGCATGATTAGACAGAGACACAAACTCTATAGAGTGCAGTGGTATTGATATCTGAATAGGATATCTTCATTGAAGTAAACTAGTATATTATGAAGATCCTCGAAACTAATTGTAAACCAAACTAAAAAATAAAATCACTTTATAATCGTGTCTATAACTCGATACTAAATTTGGATCGTATGCATAATTAAAGTAGTATCACAGCATAAGATATACTGTGGTAGTATGCGTTTATACCTGTTATACTTGAATTTATAACAGGGTAGTATAATTTTGAAAGGAAAAAAGATTTCTGTTCTTTTGCTTGGACCGGATTTCATCGTGTCTATTCGTTGTAGTTGTCGTTCCGAAGACAAAATTTTCATGAAAATCAGCCTTTAACAATGGTTGTCTAGTGAATTTCGTAGGCCAATGATTCACAAGCGTTTTCGCGCTACCTGTTATGAAATCTTCGACGGATGATACAAAAACACGTGTTCTTTATACTTTAGCCGACAAAGTTACAAGTTATTTGAGTCAATTTAACGAACGTTCGATAGGTAGGTAAAAGGAATTGGACGCGCGTGAAAGAGATACACTTTGAAGTAAATTAATCGGTAAAATTCGAACGTTTACGTGGATGATTGAAGGGAAAGTAGTGAAGCAGGAGAGCGGCCATTTTATGTTAGTATGACGTAGAGGCTGGGTGTAGCTTCGCGTTCAACCGTCCGTGTTCTTTGTAAAAGGCGAGAAAATCTGAATTCTGATGCTGGGGTCGAGGTAAATGCACGCACCACGCGCTGAACGTGTGAACCGTAAAATTAAGCCCAAGGAAAGTAAGAAAATTAGTTAAATAAAGAAGTACAAAGGTCCTGAAAGAGCGAGCATGAGCGAAGAAAGCAATCCACGAACGCTGTATGTGGGAAATCTAGACTCTTCGGTGTCGGAGGAACTGTTGTGCGCACTTTTTTCACAAATAGGTGCCGTTAAAGGATGCAAGATTATACGAGAACCAGGAAACGATCCGTATGCGTTCGTCGAATTTACGAATCATCAATGCGCGGCCACAGCGTTAGCCGCCATGAACAAGCGATCCTTCCTGAATAAGGAAATGAAGGTTAACTGGGCAACGAGCCCTGGAAATCAGCCGAAGTTGGATACGAGTAATCATCATCACATATTCGTCGGTGACCTTTCACCGGAAATCGAAACGCAAACATTGAAAGAAGCATTCGCGCCTTTTGGCGAAATTAGCAATTGTAGAATTGTTCGCGATCCACAAACTATGAAAAGTAAAGGATATGCCTTTGTATCATTTGTCAAAAAGTCTGAAGCTGAAGCGGCGATAGCAGCAATGAATGGCCAATGGCTTGGATCTAGAAGCATCAGGACAAATTGGTCAACCAGAAAACCTCCGCCACCAAGATCTGAAAGGCCACGACATTCAAACAATAGTAAACCTAACTACGAAGAGGTATGATCTGAGTTTCATCGAACAGTTGTTGATTCTTCTCACGCGTAACTGAAATATGTAAACTTATTTCTATTTTACAAATGCAAAGTTTAAAAATATTTATACACAGTTTAATTGATTGGCCTTTAGAGTATGCAGCTTATTTTTGAAAAATATATAATACGATGATGCTAATTTTTTATCGAAAACTAAAGAATTTATTACAAATGTATGTTTTGATATTTTAATATTATATGAAATTATGACACTATATTAAAATTCGCACTTGTTTCTATGAATATAAGAAGAAGATTCAAAGTTCTCTGCTTGGTACTCCAAAGGTCAAAAATATGCAAATTAATTTTTAAGTTGTGCGTGGTGCTGTTGATAGGTATATAACCAAAGTAGTCCAACCAATTGCACAGTATACTGTGGAGGTTTTACAAATGGCATTACGGACGAACTGATAAATAAAACATTTTCTCCATTTGGTACCATACAAGATATAAGAGTATTTAAAGACAAAGGCTATGCGTTCATTAAATTTACTACTAAGGAAGCAGCAACACATGCCATAGAATCAACGCATAATACAGAAATTAATGGTAGCATTGTAAAATGTTTTTGGGGAAAAGAAAATGGAGATCCTAATAGTGTGGGTCCTAATGCAAATCACCAAGCTCAACAGGTTATTATTATAAAAATTTGTATATATGATTTATAAATTATTTTTCTTTACGATTCTTCTATTAAATAAAAAATGGATAAAAAATAATTTGCCAAGGTTGAACAAAGCAAATTTTTAATATATGTTAATACGTGTAATATTGTTTTATTTAATAGGTCACAGCTGGAGCTGGTCAATATGCATATGGATATGGTCAGCAAATGGGTTATTGGTACCCACAGGGATATCCACAAATGCAGGGACAATTTTTACAGCCTGCACAGTACTATGGTCAATATTATGGACAACAGGCTCAATATATGAGTAATATGCGAATGCCTGCACCCGGTGCAGGTACATGGCAGCCTGCACAAGCGACCGCCGCACCACCGACAGCAACTGCACCATTACCACCAGGTCAGCAACCAGCTATGGTAGCATACACCATGCCACAATACCCCACGCAATGAAATTGATCATTGATTGACGTCAACTAATTGTTACATATGATACATTTGCCCTTGGGGCGTTTGCAAAAATTGTTCTGTCATATACCTATTCCAACAAATTTATTGGTATTTTGACTGCGTTATCATATGTACAAATATCCTAATTTTACTTCAATCGAAGTATTACACTGTAAAGAAAAACTTCTAAATTTGGTTGTCTCAATATTGACTGATATAAATAATCTCATGAAGAACTGTTCCATCAAAAGTTCAAAGTGATATATATATATAAACATATATACACACGTATATGCATAAATGTATATTTCCTTTGTACGTTTCCCTTGCCAAACAATAGAAACGTATATCATTTTAACAAATGCGAGTTTTATCTCGCAATGCTCATTGAAAAAGAAAATATATCATAGCAGTCAATCCATCAGTGTATAATATAATTTTTTCAAGAGTTTCAAAGTGTTGAATGAGGTATATTTCTGAACTTATGGTTGCAGCCCCTTAACGAGCCCTGCATTCGTTGTGCTGCGTAAGGTGTACGTATGTATGCGACCGTTGTGTTGTTATATTTTTAATATTTTTGCCACAATTACCAATTTTTAGTTTATTTCAAATCATCGATGAACAAAGATAAATGTTCATTTATGGTAAACACAGAGTATGACATTGAACATAGTATAAGATAGAGAGTATAGGTAGACATGGCGCCTGTGATGTAGCTAGATTTGGATGCATGCTTTGACGTATGCAGGGCCCTTAATTAAAATAAACTATGATGCGAGTCGATAAACGAGTTGTAAACTTTCCTCGTTTTGTGATATTTATCGTCGGTGGTAAATGTACAAAAAATTCTTATCAAGAATTTTCAAGAAAAATATTCCAGAGAATATGCCACAAGTGGCATATTTTTTAAACAGAATTTGACTTAATTCAGTATATTGTGTTGTGTAGCTTCTAGTGACTCCTCTCCGTTTGTACAAAGAAATAGTGAACCTTGGTGTAATTATTACGATGTAATTTAAGTATAATGATAATGATAATAAATACTTCCACTAAGAGCTGGAGTCACTATTGTTCTGCCTTTAATTAACCTTACGTATTGAAAACTGAAAATTACGTTACTTTCAATATATAGTACACATGATATGTGGAAACTTTCGTTTTGTAGTAATCAGTATATCTATTGACAATCACAAGTGATATTATCTCATGCTTTGATATTATTGCAATTATTATGTGGCACGATATTTGTATCTTCGTGTCTTCCAATTACTATACAATATATGTAGAAGTTTGTTGCACGAATTCGATAGGTTTTTATTCATAATATTTCAACATAACTAGTTTTAATATTTATTTATCTTTAAAAAATTCATTATCTTTTCTTTTTGTTCTTAATATTTTTTGGATTTCAATATTTCAAATTATACCTAATCAAATTACTAAATTAATAATAAAAGTAAAGAAGTTAGGGGTGATTGGAGTGAATGAAAATTTATCGACATTTCGCTTCACCACCGACGATAAAAAAGCCATAAACCTTTCGAAACCAATTTGTATAAAGTCAGTACTAAATGTAATAACAGGAGAAACATAAAAGTCGAATACAGCAATGATTAATTGACTGCGATAAGTGATATCGAACTGCAGAGAGCCAATTGAGAAAAAAAAAAAGAAAAAAAACTTGTCTATGGACGAATAATAATCAGTGAACCGATGGAAGACATAAAAAAAAAAATGTTATATAAAGAGTAATTTAGGTACAGCAGGGTGTGGAGAACCCTCGAAAAATGCTTAGGATAATGTTATCTTATAATAAAAACAAATTGTCCTTTGAATGAAAAAAAAGGAATAAATATTTAAAATACACAATATTTTGTATTATTTCATAGCCCACGTTATTATAAAAATATAAAAAGTTATGAAATAATATCAAAAGTGGTTTTTTAAATTTATAAGAGACGTAGTATCTTCGTTTATATAAATGATTAAATGTTCAAAATAATATAACACGTTTTTTAAGTACATACAAGGTAATTTTATTTTACAGCCGATATACTTTTACAATAAACAATTACGTGAAACGAAGAATATTTTTTCTACGAATCATCTTGTCAAGCACATAAAAAAAAATCATTTCTGACTGGATGACTTGTGTAGAAGAAGACAATATTTTGACTGATTAATCTAACACAATAAAATTTAACATTAAGTAAAACGTTTGTGATATATATGTATATATATCCCAAAGAAAACACAATTATTTAGTATATTTTTTGTATCAATTTAAAAAGTGCGTTATTACATCAATTCAGTACAAAAGTATTATGCTGATTATATCACTGCTGTTACATGAACAAAATTATATTTCTTTCGCGAATACAAATAATACAAGTTAGGAGTAATTTAACAATACATTAATTAAATATTTAATGGTTCGACAAAATTGTGAATTAACTTTCAAATGGAAGTTATGATCATTCCTTTTTTTTTCCCCTTAATGAAATGTGTTAGAATAATTTGTACTGTACACTTTTTTACACACAATACATGCGTTCCTCGATTTCGATCACACAGCGGCAAAATATGAAATAGGATATCTGTGTTTCTGTACAGTAATAGGTATCGCTACATTATTCAGCTATATTTAAAAATTACTATTTAATTGCATGATATCACTGAGTATATTAACGTTAATTAAATGTATTTGTTAATTATTTTTTTTATCAAGCGTAGAATAACTACGGCACAATACATTAAAAACGAGTTGCTCAATGAAAGAATTTAATTTACAGTCTACAAACGTGAATTGTCTACCTTGTTCAATATAATTTTTTAAGCAACCTATAATACTGATAAAGAAATATAAGTTTCACATTTCATCGAAGTATATCTAATTAGAGATTCAATAGAAATAAAACAGAAATCTTGGAAGTTTTACGTTAAATTTTATAAAATAAACTTGCTTCGGTAATAATCTCTTTCTTTCCTCTCAAAAAGTTGCATCGGATTAGTACTGATATCAAAACAATTATTATTTAAAGAATAAGAGTCGCATCTTAGAATACATAAGAAAAAAGTAATCCTAGTTAAACGCGTGCAAACATTTCTCAACGATCAACTCACATTTCATTATTATTAATTTAAATAGCATTAATTAATATTAGCATTATTTTCTTTATATCCTTAAGAAATTCTCTATTACAAGTTTTTATAAAAGTAGCAAAATAACTTAATCGAGGCTGAGCGTGTTTTTAACTTGGAAGGCCAGGGTTGTAGATACATATACCCATATTGATAAACAGTCTGTTGTGCAAGATCATCGAAAAAAGATTCAATTAACGTTACTGTAATTATACATACAATAGCAAACAAAACTTCACATACGAGAAAGTTCGGCGCAGAATCGAAGAGAAAATTATTCTAAAGTAAGTGAAACTTAACTATAATCAGTACAATACAAACTGTGTTGGCACTAAATCTTTAGAATAAAAAGCCTTAACATTTTAGTGTAATACGTATTACGTTTGTGATGCTTTTAATTAAATTAATTACTCATTATTATGTGACAACACATATTAAACTCAACAGCTTATACACTAATATACCTTTGAAAGTAAACTCATTTGGCATTATTTGCATCGTCAACTTCATTTGCATTTTTCTATAAAGAATAGTGCGTGTACTTTGCACAACTGTAAGTACTATGTATGTGGTGATTCCTACATTATTTTAATATTTTATATCACTTATAGTTCACATGGAAATTCTAACAAGTACAGGGAGAAATTTACTTTTCATTGATCTACGTGGCAGAACAAAAATTAACACGTGCCACGTATATATTACTCATGTACACATCTATCATTATTATTGATTAATATTAACTACTGATCACACCAGAGAAGCTTTAAACTCGTTGCATGTATGTTATTAAAAATAAGTTATAATGAGGTATAATTTTTTGGAACAACTATTATGTGCTTCTCTTATAAACAAAAATTGTAAATTACGTGAAGTCAAAAAGATTAATATAACTAACTTCAGGGCGAAAATAATATTGTATTAACATGCTTATTAATATCATTTTGCAATAAACACGTTTTCAATTGTATGATTATGTCGTACAAGCACAATCACTTTTTGTTTGAGCACTTTAAGCAATAGATAAATATCAAAAACTTTTATATGTATATATATAATATATATAGGATTTCTCGTTATAGAATATGTGTATCATAACATTATTGTTTCATTGATAATATTTGATTATAAATTATAAGTATTTCGAATTCCACTCATTTCAAATATAGTTCCAGTTCGTTGTCTCGATAGAAATTTCATCAAATCAAGAGTTAATTTACAAGCTGACCAATGCGATACCCTCATTGATACATCACAATGGTATTATTCCATTTCAACATTTATCAACCAAACATTTGAATTTCTATCAAACATAACAAGAGTAATATTTTCAATATTTCTCTTCGGTACGTTATTATAGTGTGCAATTTATTTTTACAAAACTTACATACCTAAAGCAATTTGTGTATTTCACTTTCAGCATTTGCTTATACAAGACACCTACAAATTTCTATGCTTATCCGATAACTTAACTACAGCAGTAGTTAGATATCCATTTATATCCAATTATATCAATTGTTTTATTATCTGATTGGACGTGTGCTGTTTCATGTGCAAATGCAGTCTTTCTACTCAATACTGTTAAACTCAATTACGCTTGATCAACACTTGATATTTACATTATTTTCTTCGTTCGTCATAAGGTGCATGTTGTTACAATAATTTACATTAGGAGATTATCTACGTGCGTAGGAAGCAGTCGAGTAAATTTTAATTAAACAAATAAAAAAATTGTCATTTTCGAAAAGCATAAATTAAAGAAACTATCAAAATTTTCGCAAATCGTAAGACTACGAACTTTGGAATTCTACTATTAACACCATTTCGGTGAAACTTAAATCTACGATACCTGATTTGTGGATGGAGTATGGAATGTATTATGCAGTATAAAGCTATTCATATTACATTGTTACGTTTGTAACATGATTTAAAAAACATTACTTGGCAAGAGTGCTTTTCACATATTATAACATTTCCTTTTTGTATATAGACATTATTATTTATAAATTAGTTTAGAAAATGTAAAAGCTGCTGTATTTACACTTTGTAATAATTAATATCGCAGAAAGTCACTTTTGAAATATTTTTCTGTTGTTACAGTTCTTTGTTTCTTATTGAAACGATTGATACTTTGAATGTAACTTATTTGTAAACAGTTGCCTTTTAACTAATTCTTAAAAATCATAGACTTACGTCACCATACTCAAAGCTCCATTTTTCGTAAGCAGCCAAACTTGCAGGTGATACGGATCTACGAATTCTTTTAAGTGAATCACGAAAATCTTGTATCGTAATGTTGCGCACGGAGTTAAGATCCAACTCCTTTACTTGATCTGGATTAAGCTCTGTTATAAAAAATAACAATTTTCGAATGTTTAGGAGGATCTGTGTTAGACTGTCTGGTCAAGATATTAATATCCATTCAGTCTATTTTACCGAAATTAAAGAATAAAAATTGCACAAATCTTACCTCTGATAGGACCAAGTGCAGCATCTTTAGCTAAACCCGTTAAATCACTTCCGGAATAGCCTTCAGTTAAGAGCGCCATTTCATTTAATTCTTCTGTAGTTAATGGATCATTATGTTTAGCTAATAGACGCTTAAGAAGCATAATTCTTGTTTGTAAATCTGGTAATGTAACATATACACGTTTCGTAAATCTTCTTAACGCCGCTTCATCTAATTCTTGAGGTCTATTTGTAGCAGCCATAACAAGTACTCTTTCCTCCGGATTACACGGCAGACCATCAAATTCTACTAAAAACTCTGTTTTCAACCGCCTGGATAATAAATGTTAATTAAATAAAAACTCATTATTTTTTATGAGTTCTAATATTCACATAATGTACCTAGAAGCTTCGTGTTCATTATCCCTGCGTTCACTTAATAATGAATCAACTTCATCAATAAAAATCACAGATGGCTGTAATTCTCGCGCTATAGCGAAAAGAGCTCTCACTAATTTTTCTCCTTCTCCGACATATTTTGATGTGAGACTAGCAGCTGATATTGAAAAAAATGTAGCATTGCATTGGGTAGCTACAGCACGTGCAAGTAATGTTTTCCCATTTCCGGGTGGGCCGAATAACAATAATCCTCTCGCAGGTGTCCGTAGACCGGTGAATAATTCAGGTCTTAAAGAAGGTAATATCACCATTTCTTGTAGTGCTTGTTTTGCCGTCTACGTTCAAAAAACCAATACTGTAATTTTTAACATTTCTCTTTTTTGTAACATACAAATGTAATATCTACAAACTTCTTGACCAGCAATGTCTTCCCAATGCACGGCTGTTCCTCCTTCCAAAATTTCGTCAAGAATAACTTGGGCTAGTTTTGGATCTACGCCCTTTAAGAGAGGAACTTTTCTAGTGGGTGTTCCTTTGTTACTGTTTGATGTAGTAGGCGTTCCAGGTCTTCTGATAGGAGAACCATTTCCAGGTACAGATAATTGCCTTTTTACTGAAGGAGGTGTGGATGATGGTTTAACAGGTGTGACTCTGTGACAAGGCTGAACTGGTGTTGAACGTCCCATACTTCGTGGTAATGTTTGGCTTTTGCTAATTGCAGTGCCTACTCTTTTTCCAGGTACTGATAATTTTCTTCCAGATGCTACAAAAATATTTAAATGTAAGTAAATTATATTATCCGTGTTTGTCAATACCTCGTTGACAAATCTAATATACAAACAAAATACGAAATAAATATTTTGAAACAAAGCGTGTAAGTATCAACAAAATCTAAAACTATCATAATAATGCTAATGTAATTATAAAGCTGAAATTTTAAGAACAATATACACATGTTACATCATTATTGTTTTATAAGTGTATTTAATATGTTTCTTACTAAAAATTTTACGAGGACTTTGAAACCTTTTAAGATAAATGTCAGATTTAAACATCGAAAATGCGATAAAGTAATCGTTACCATTGTAAATTACCTAACATGTTCTTCAAACATAATTTTTGATTTTTACATAAAGCACATACTCATGCATATAGCCTTGTTAAATTAATTGATTGTTCAATACACACATTTTTATTTTATGTATATAAATAATTCAAATATTTTCTTAATGACTTATTTAAATAAACTTCACAACTAGATTACTAAGATATAAAAAACTACTAGTAAGTGTAGCAATTAATATAATATATCAATGTATACTACTTGTTGCACTATGTCAAAAACTAATATAAGTGTTAATAATCAAATAGGAATAATATCTTCAGGAAAGCGAATACAATAAATATTATATTAATAAATTTACATTCAAAATTTGCATGTAAGCCCAAAACTTCAGACAAACAGTACCTTCAGAATGGCCAGAATAGTTTTTTGGTGAACGTGGCCTTAACTTGGGAATTTGGGTACATGAATTCTGCCCTACGTTCACTGTTTGTGTACTGTTTGTGTTTTTTGTATGATTTGTATTTAAAGGAGATCGAGTTGTTTGTAATGTGTGTATATTGCGCCGGACCCTCAGATTCTTTCCTGGATGTTCGTTGTCCACTTTACTTCCAGGAGCACGATATTCATTGGAGATATCCAGCTTTTTCAGCTCACACACACTCACTACAAAAAGGAAAAACATTCTCTGCCATGCTGCAGTAGGCTAAATAGCTAAATACAAATTGAACTCAGAAATTCTTTCAATTTTCTTCGGTATCATAGGCTACTTAACTAATATTACAATATGAAATGAATTCTTAGATGGCCATTAGAAATGCTGCTGTATGAAGTTTAGCTACTAATTTATATATATGTATATATATTTGCACCGCGTATTAAGAAATATATTGTGCAAAAAATAAGATTATTTAAAAAAAAAAGATAACGCGCGCATGCATACACTCACATATACATTCTTACATAAATATACATACACCCTCACACACATACGCGTAAACATTATAGAACAATTAACACGTGAGCATGCTAAGTACATTAATATCATATTGATTCTTAAGCTGTACCATAATTTCATTTAGGTCTATTATAAAGAAAACCTTTACAAATATGTGTGTATCAAATTGTTTATTTCATGTAAAGTTGGAACAGCTTAAGAGGTATAATGTACATTGAAAATAAAAGTATACGAACCAAGAAAATCAAGTCTATCCTTTGCCATTGCTAAATTAGTGCGCATTTTATCATGAAGTCTTTGAGCATGTTCCCATACTTCTCCTCGACCACCGGTACACTCTATGGCTATTCCTTTTTCTAGTTCTCCAATACCTTTTTTATACAGTTCAATGGCCATTTCTTTTTGACCTAATTAAAAGGAAATTAAAAGATAAATACTGCTATAACTAAATCTAAAAAAGATAGATACAATTTATTAATAACATACCTTCGTTATCTTCATCAATTTTAAGTGCTTTACTAATGAATTCAAAAGCTCTACGATGATGATGTTTTTGTTTTGCAAGCAATGGATCTCCAGGACCAGGACCAATAGATCTTCTGGGCAATTGTGACATCCCGTCGTTATCAATTTGCCCACTATTATTCAAATTGTTATTTAAATTCTCTGTAGACTTTTGGCCAACTACAATTTCCAGCTGACAGGTCTGCTTGGAAGCTTGTCTTCGTTGAATCAGCTGAGACGTAGATGTATATAAATACTTAAATACCACAAATAACTGGTAGAGAAGCGTTCTCAGAACGTTGAAGAGTAGTATCAAAGGAAAAGAAACAATATAGAGATTACGCTTATGTACTGACGGCTGAGAAGGATCGAGAAAGCGATGATTATGATGATAATGATTGTGATGGTGGTTGTTACAATTAATAGTAGTTGTGGTTTTATCGTTATTTTCATTCTTTGTCACACAAAGTTTTTTCGGCGACTTTGTGCCGAACTTACGTATCGGACGCCCGCCATCACTGTAAGACATTTCCTATCACAATTTTTGAATTCGTAAAATACGAAGTACACTTGTTATCGCCAAAGATAATTTGAGCTAAACATTCTAACATTCCCGATACTGCATAGACGTTGAAAAAGGGAAATCCTCTTTGCAACCGGACTCACACCATTTTTTGTTTCTAAAAGGTATTATTTCGGAAGTTTAACAGCGAGGTCTTCCTGAAGATCGAAACAACCGTTTCCACTAACGAACAAAAAGAAAACAAATGAAAAGAACAAGAAGATTCGGAATTCCGAGATGTTCGGAATTGGCGAATTATGAACGAAATCGGGTGGTTCGTGATCTTCTTCAGCATCGCTTGTTTTGATTCGCATTTAACTTGGAACATCGATGTATAACATCGATCTACAAACATCAACAAACGTTGTCTTACAAAAACGTGTGTATAAAAATACATACATACAGAAACTTATATGCACCTCGGTATTTATTTCACTCAGTACGTATTCTGCACAAAATAGATTACTTTGTGCACTTGCGCTCTTTGTTTTGTCTTCTTGCACATGCGTATATTCAAGCATCTTTATTATGCTATCTGAGTTCTATACATATGATCAAATCTGGATTTATTTTCTATATTTTTCTATATGGTTATACTCATTTGAAGAACGAATATAAGAAATGTATTTTTGTATTTAGAACAGTACAATTAAAGATAAATGTTGACATACACAGTACGCACATATAATGTATACGATACACACTGTAAAAGCAAAATACCTCTACTGCAATGTTGAGACGTACTTACGTTCCGAAACTCTAAGATCTATAGATCTTTATATATGTATATCACTACACCACTGAATCCTTAATTCCTATATCACTAAATCTTTATACTTCTATATGTATAGTATAGTATAATAAAAATATGTATTGCATTAAAGAAAACCAATAAATTTCTGTTCTATTTTTGTTTATGAAATGTAATATTCAACAATTGTGCAACACTCATGCATATATGCAAAATAATACAAATTAGTATCGATCAACGATAAACTAGTTCTATAGTTTATCAACTGCACCACATTAGTACATAAATATTCTACAAAGGGTCTCTGCTAACGTTTTGTCGCCATTTTCTTCGTCAGTTCTGCGTTTTACATTCCAGAGATTGCATCGAGGCAAGATGTCGTCCGCAAGTGGTGACGAGACCGAGATTACTTTAAATGAGCCTGGTAAGAAGACTATGATATTCCTGAAAGAGACTACATTTAACATTTTGTAATTTTGCTTTTCATCTATATTAATACACGTTTATGTAAGATAAACGTAAGCAGTAATGCACCCGGCAGCTAACCGAAAACTTGCGAACCGCCATTAAATGAATGGCGTCTCGCACACGCATGTAACGTGTAAATATTTCATTCAAATTTTGCAATTGTTTTATATATTTATTTCTTGTAGTACGACGCACTAGATCCAGTCGTACGCGAAAGACTACCGTGGTAGCGAAGAAATCTCCTGTAAAGAAACTTCTAGCAAGAGCGACACGTTCTTCGAAAATAGTGCAGGAAATTGAAGAAATCGAGGTGTGTAAAATTTGTAATATCATAGATAGTTCTCGTAATCGTTGAAGTATATAGTCAATAGTATATTGAACGAAAATAATTGATTGCATTTTATTTCTTTTTTAGGAGGAAGAATCTGTATTAGAGGAAGAGGTTGTTATGGAAAGCATTCCAGAAAATGGAGTGCAAAGGTTCGGTGACATTATTATCGAACAACATAATGAAGATGATTCGTCTATGTTGCATTTAGAATTAGATGATTCTGTTGACACAAATGTTCATGAAATTAATATGAATCAAAATGTAGAAATAGGAGTTCAAGAAACTGTACCTGATTTAGAAACATCTGTATCTCAGATTGTAAGTAACATGTATGATTTTGGTACAAAATTACTTTATATCAAAATTATTTCTTATTGAAATTTTTATTTTTTTGTGTTAGGATCATTCTACTACAGTATCAGAACCTATAATCATAGAAGAGAGCAGTGTGGATAAAGTTGATATGCTAAGTGAACGTGAACAAATGGATATGGAAGGACAAGATATTAGTAATGACGATACGAATCAACGTGTATTAATAGATTTTCAAGAAGTTATAAACGACGATGGGGAATCTATGACACAAGTAACAGAAATTTTAGAAACAGAAGTTGAAACTGAAAATGTTATAAATGATGGTACTGAGATTGAAGTTATGGAAGTGGATTGTCAACAAGAAACATCAGAAGATATAGAAACTGCTACAGAAAAAATTGTGTCAGATGGAGACACAACAGTAATAACGGAAATGGCAGAAGATGACATGGAATGTTTACCTGAAAATGCTATGAAAAAAACTGAGCCTGATACAGAAGCTGTATCTGAAGATGAATTACCCACTGAAGCTACAACAAAGGTATAGCATTATAAAATAATATATATGTTCAAATTGCAATACTCATTTTTAATGTTCAGGAACCTGAAACAGAAGCTGTATCAGACGAAGAATTACCCGCAGCAGCACCGGCAGATTTGGGAGAAACTGAATCAGTTTCTGAGGATGAATTACCATTAGACAGTGAAAAAAAGAAGAAAAGTGGAACAAAGGCATTGAGCAAAACACCAGAAAAGAAAACTAAGACAGAAGGCACAAGTGAGCTTAAAATTAAAAACTTTTAGCATATTTCTTACAAAAGTATAAACGACTTTTAATACTTGTCTATCTTCCATTATTTTGGTTTTCAGATAAACGCAAATTAAACGCTGAGGGAGAGTATGACCCCAGTTCACCAACGTCTGAAAACAACGACGAAACACCGGCCAAAAAAGTTGCACTTTCAACCGAAACGGATCCTGGGGACAATAAGCAAGAAATGAAACCAGCATCGCCAAAGAAAAAGACACTGCCAGAACTGGAAAAATATTGGAAAGCCGTTAACGAGGATCCATCGGATTTTACAGGATGGACATACCTTCTTCAATACGTTGATCAAGAAGTAAGTGGGAAAGCGTGAAAATTATGTGAGTGGTAGTAACAAGGATATAGGAATTTGAGAATATAGACATTTAAGAACACATGCGGGAGTTTCGTCTTGATAATATAGATATTTGTTATTTTATAGAATGATGCAGAAGCTGCACGGGAAGCTTATACCAAATTTTTGGAGCGTTATCCATATTGCTACGGTTACTGGAGAAAGTTCGCCGACTACGAGAAGAAGAAAGGCAATCCGGAAAATGTCCAAAGGGTGAGTCAACTCGTTTACCATATCTCATAGGTCTACTTCTCATTATGATATCATTTAATTAACGCAATCTAATGAAAATAGCTCGAGTTAGGAAGACGCGTGGGCAGTGTGCACGCACGTAAATATGGTTTTCCCTTCCAACAGCCTAGCACGTCTTGCGGCACCTATACGACTCTCTCCGTTTACCAAATAGCTAGTTAATTAATTATTCTGCGATATCTACAATATTATTGCGAATATTACTGTTTTACTTATACCGTTATATTGATATTCTACGTACAATACGTAAGTCAAGCGAAGGCTAGTTGTTTCAATTTGCGATATTATCGTGCAAGAAATTGTGTGTGTAATATTTACTGTAAGCATTTGTACACATAGCTTACTACAGAAAGTATTGTAACTTAAGCATAAGATGCGGTACCTTACTTAATGTAAGTAAGATTGGGTTGGGTGTTAAATCAAAGTCAGAAACAAAGACTTAGGACGTGAACATGCCAGAGAGGGAGCAAGAAAAAGTGGCGGAAGACACAGAGGCACCCAGATTGGAACACTCCTTGACTTTAAGGTGAATGCACAATGCTCTGCAATCTCTGTGTTAATTAAATCTCTTTATTTACAGTACGCGTACGATATGTGAGTATAAGTTGCTAAAAAAAACCGTAATGCTTTACGAAAGCTAAAAAAAAAGAAATAGGTATAAGTCTACCCGCCACCAACCCAATCGGTTATAAACTGTTCTAAATGTGATTGCAAACGATTACTACAGGTATTCGACCAAGGTTTGAAAGCTATTTCGCTCAGTGTCGACCTTTGGCTCCATTACATCAACCACTGCAAAACCGTCTATGAAAAGGATGAAGAAAAACTGCGAGAACAATATGAAAGGGCTATTCAAGCTTGTGGTCTTGAATTCAGGTTTGAATATATTTTATACGCACATAGACTTCTGTCCAACTATAAAAGAACACAAAACAAAGAAAGTTTATCATTTCATCCTTAGATCTGATCGTCTTTGGGAAAGCTATATAAAATGGGAATTGGAAGGCAAACGTCTAAGCAGAGTAACAGCATTGTACGATCGTTTATTGTGTACACCTACTCTCAGTTATATTTCCCACTTCGATGCATTTCAAGAATTCGTTTCTTCAAACTTGCCAAATCGCATTTTGAGCGTTGATGATTTCCTTGCCCTGCGAGCTGAAGTAAAGGCACTTCTCAAGTCTGATGACAATACTTCTAATTCGGCTGCAGATGATGCACCACCTGGAGAAGAACCACCTCCACACGAACTCCCACCGACTGACGAAGAGACCCGCGCTATTAGGGAAAAGATCATTAGTAGTAGACGTAAAATGCATAAAGCTAATATTAATGCAGTTGCTGCCAGGTGGTCGTATGAAGAGGGTGTAAGTATACAGATTGTAATTTTACTATATAGTTAGATAGTGAGACCTGACTGTAGACATAACTTGTTATATACGTTTTGCGCTGATATCAAATAATTATTTGATTTTTATAGATCAAACGTCCATATTTTCATGTGAAGCCTTTGGAACGATGTCAGTTGAAAAACTGGAAGGAATATTTAGATTTTGAAATTGAACAGAAAGATCAGAACCGAATAATTATTTTATTTGAAAGGTGTTTAATTGCTTGCGCTTTGTACGATGAATTTTGGATGAGAGTAAGTTCATGACAATCGTGTTTTAATTATTTTTTTCTTTTGCATTAAATTGTATATTAAGAAGTGTATTCGCATATGTTTTGTAGTTTGTTCGTTATTTGGAATCCTTAAAAGGCGATAATGTGGAAAAAATAAGGGACGTGTACTCTAGAGCTTGTATGGTACATCATCCAAAGAAACCAAACTTGCACCTACAGTGGGCAACGTTCGAAGAGGGTCAGGGTAATTTTGAGAAAGCAGCTAACATATTGGAAAATATTGACAACGTAATACCCAATATGTTACAAGTGGCGTATAGAAGAATAAATTTGGAACGCAGAAGGGGGGATTTGGATAAAGCCTGTACATTGTATGAAAATTACATTAGCAATAGCAAAAATAGAACAATCGCTAATAACATTGTCGTAAAGTACGCCCGTTTTTTATGTAAAGTAAAAAACGATGTGGATAAAGCAATCAAAGTATTATTGAAGGTATATGATTGATCCTCGCTGTGTACCTCACTGCATCCTATTTATTTTCACAACAAATTTGTTTTCGCTCTTTTCAGGCGACAGAAAAAGACAAAGATAATCCACGACTTTATTTACAATTAATTGATTTGGGGATGCAACGATCTCCCGTTGATACTCAAGAAATTGTAGGGTATATGGATATGTTCATAGAACGAGAACACGCTGATCTCGAACAGAGAGTACTTTTTGCACAACGCAAAGTTGAATTTCTGGAAGATTTTAGTCCAGATATTCGACAAGTGTTAAAAGCACACGAACAGTTTCAAAAATGTATCAAACAGGCAAAGGAACGAAAGAAAACGAAAAATGACGATGCAAAAGCGTAAGTATTATTCTCTTAGAAAGAAAGTATATATAGAATGGTTTCAATGACAAAAATTTCGTACGTTACAGAGATACTTCTCCCCCAAAGAAAGTTAAAACAACCGATCAATCTAACGTACCACCCCCACCTTCTGTCAGTTCACAGTCATCTTATCAATACAGTAGTGGCCCAAGTGGACCATATCAATCACAACAACAATTTCAAAGTGGCCAATATGGAGGCCAAGGTGGATATCAGCAAGGTTATCAACAGTATCCACCACCTTCTGATCCAAATTACGCCAATTATCAGAATTGGCAATACGGCCAGGGTGGACCTCAAGCATATGGACCGTATAATCAATGGGGATCTTACAATTACTACTAGTGGATTATACAAAGTTTTTTTCTGTACCAGTTTTCATTGCGTTACTGTATCTACTGTACATTTTATAATTATTATTCTTTCATCATTCGGAGAATCGATACGAAAAAGGACATAAAAATTCTTTCAAGTTCCAATGACACATCAGTGACCTGACACGAATAACAGTGATACATGTACTGATGCTTACATTCAATACAATGAATTCTTTGCATGAAATTCTGTTTTAGTGTATTTTAAACGATAAAACAGTATAGGAAATACTAAATTGAATTTCCTGCCGATGATAAATGTATTTCAGTCATAATACGATAGAAGGTAGTTAATAAAAAATTACTATACAGTATGAGATAAAGTACGCTAAGTGAAAATATATTTCTCCATAATATGTTAAAACGAAAAAAAATGAAAAATTGTTGTATTTGCATTCAGTTGATACGATGCAGCATACTGTCATCGATATTTTATTCTGGGACATTGTGTTATTTTTTCAACAGTAACAGTTCATAATTGTTACCTATCGTATGTAATAAATAGGGATGAGCCGAGTACCCGAGAACGCGAACGAATTTTAGAAAAATTCAAAAAAAATGTTTAAAATGCCTTAATAAAAGCTTAAAAAGCTGCTCGTAAATTCAATGAATAGTTTATGGATCCTACGGTTTCTAGGTTCCAGAATTTCTAAATCCTAGGATTCTTAGACTTTAGAATGTTTAGAATCTAGGATTCCTAGTCTCTGAGATTTCCAGATTGTAGAAAGACCCGGAAAGGAAACCTAATCAAGACATTCACCCTACATTTCTTATTACAGACTTCTTGTAGCTAAGAACAAGTGATACCCCACACTCCCACTACCTCCATTCGGGCTTAGGAGGTCGAATTGGTGAATTTAAAAAATTGTCAATTTTAAATTTCGTATTTGAAAAGATACTTTTCCGACTCGAAGCTCGGATACTCGATGTATTGGTCTATTTGCACATCCCTAGTAATAAGTATTTTTCCGCGTACTTAGTTTATGATAATATAGTTTTTGCTAATATACGTTAAACGTACAGCTTAAAGAAAGTTAGGATATATGTATATGTAAATTGGAAAAAGAAAAACGGATATTTAAATGTCCTAGAAATTTTACGTAAGCGCACCTCATTAAATATTCACGGAATAATATTAACATTCGACGAAACATTTTTGATAAAAGAGGATTAAGAAACATAACTACCTTTCACTGTAGTTATATTTTTATGTTACAGATGAATATTTTGTATATTGTAATTAGGTTCCAAATTTTTACGTAAAGTTGTGTAGAAATTACATACATTGAGAATATTTTTTTTTCTTTTTTTTTGTAGATGAATTTTATAATTCGTAATAAATGAAATTGATTAGTGACAGCATACTCCTTCTACTAATTTAGGATTTTATAAAATATGTTTATGATTGCCAAAATCAAAAAATATAATTTTTAATTGCACTTTGCATCAGTGTTTCAGTTGATATAATGTAGTTTTAAATTAATTTTCATTAAACATGTTCAATAAATTGTCAATATTACATAAAACTTAATGTTTATTAATTATATAGTTTGAATTGTGGATCAGGATGGATTTAATCATTAAAACGCAATGAAAAAACGTTAAAATATAACAAATATGCTTATTTATTATTAAGTCATTATTACGCATATAAATAATTACAACCTTGAAAAGTTTGTATATTTATGATTTTATTGTAAGCTTGTCATTGAACTTTTAATATAGTATGTATGATTTTTAATTGTTAAAGATATTATACAAATCTGTTCATAATTCAAGCAATTAACATGCATATTACGTTAGTAAAAAAAAACTATATATATATATGTATCATTTTATTTTAGATACATTTAATATCATTATGAAAGACTTTGGTTTCACAAATATCTTCGTTATACAACTATAGCGCTTGAAGCCATTGCATTAACTCCGCAGGTACCGTCTCCTCTATAAACTCTGTAGTAACCTTGTTCGCCCCATTTTGGACCCCAACTATTTTTTATGATCCAGTAAGGTAATTTTTTTTTAAATAGAGGATATGCTGAAAAAAGTAAATATTTTGTGAAAATATATTAAAATTAAGATACTTTTAAACTCGAAAAATATAATACGTACTGCTCGTGGCGTATCCTACGATTAGAACTCCATGGTCTAAATTCGCAGGATCACACAAAAATTTAAAAGGATGCGAAACACCGCCAAAATAAAATTGCATTGCGTTAGCATTAATGCCAACAGAAATAGGACCATTTTTTACCAGCCACTGTGCCATTTTTTTTTCGTCGTTTGTAATATTTAAAGCCGAAGCAACTTGCACTTTAGCTTTATTTTTAAGGAAATGGCATTTTTCATTTCTAGCATCATAAGGGTAATCTGTTTCTAATTCAAGACCACCTAGTTTTTCTACGGTTTTGTAAGCGTTTATCATATACCCTCCACCACATCCATCATCTAAATTATCGCAGTCTACTAATTCTTGTTCCGACAAAGATAATAATTTCTTATGCTTAATTGCGTATTGTCCTTCTATATTACCAATTGCAGAAAATGCCCAACATGATCCACACTGACCTTGATCTTTGACCGGTGTTACTGCATTATATTCGCGCCAATCAAATTTAGGAGGTAAATCAATGTCAGGTATTACAGCTTCTTGAAGAGGTATATCATTTTCTTGATTCAAATTAGTTTTCAAACCTAAATACTTTGTTTTGAATTCTTCAGGTGTTAAATCCGCGAACATTGTAACACCATACACAGCTGTTCCTTGTTCAAACTTTCGTAATTTTTCAATCATTTTTAAGTTCTTTCTAAAGACTTTATAACGATCAGCTTTTTCTTTAGCTGACAAATATGTTTTATTATAAGTTTTAACAAAATCTTCAAACAAAAGTTCATCCTTATAATCCTCTGCCATTTTTAGCATTTTTAAACTGTACTGAGAACCTCGTAATGATCGCTTCTGTTTATTTTTTAAATCACAATTAATAGTAATTTTTGGATTTCCACGATCTATCCATGGCTGGGACCAAATCGTAAATAGACATTCCTTAAGTTCACTTCCTTCTCCCAGCACACAATTTTGTTTAGTGCCTTTTGCACAAGTGCTTGTTCCTAACTTAACTTTTATTTTATATAACATACCAGATACCACTTGCTGTGTGGCTTCAACAATTTGTACAATCATAGGTTCATTTGTACCTTCTGAATTCTCTGAAAATTGTTGTAATCCTTTGTGTGCAAGTGTTTGTACTTGAGGATCATTGATATCTATGCTATAAGGTGCACCCACAAGGTCAGATTTTCTTTTATTTCTATACAATTTACGTAATTTATTCTTTGTAGCATCTACTTTCTTCGGTAAAATAATTTCTTCTTTAACTTCTTCCCTGTTTGTTTCAGGATTTGATTGAATTTCTCTTGTAGGCAAGTCGAAATCTTTTAAAAATTCACCAAATTCTTTAGTTTTATCTCCAAATCCTTCAATTTTTGTATCATCATTGTCTCTACTTATTGAAACTTTTATGGGAGGATCTTCTGTCACTTCTGATTGTTCTGGTTCTTCTATTTTAGTAGTTGTACTATAAGTATAATTATTAAGAATATTTTTTAAATTTTCTAAAGCCTCTAGTTTTTCAGGATTAGTTTCTTCTTTGTTAGGTGCATCTGTTACAAGAGCTTCAACATTTAATGTAGAATAAGAGCTAACATTTCCTTCAATCTCTAAATTATTATCCATGGTACAATTGTTTTTTGTTATTTTACGGGTGTTGTGTTTCCAGGGTTGTTCTTCAAATGTTACCAAACACGTCTTCACAGGAAGATTCAACTGTATAGAACATTCTGCCTGATCAATTGCATTTTTTAAACAGTCAGATTCTCCTATACGGAATAAAATTTCATACTTTACAACATTAGATGAAGGCGGTATAGCACTAGTAACTTTAACAATTCCTATTACTTTATGTTTGAAATCATTCTGTATCAATTCATCCATTGATTTCACCACTTGTTCTCCAAAAGTAGACAATCCAGGTAGGTTTGGATTTAATTCATATGGACACCCTGGACAATATGTAGAATTAGGAGCTCTCATTGCTATAAATGGTCGTTCGCTGTGGTCTCTGTTATTTTGAATTTCATGATCTAATTCGATACTTTGATTGTTAACAATTTGTTTTTCTAAATTATCAATAATTTCCTGATCTTGATTGTTTTCTTGCATTTGTAAGGGATCATCTTGGACAGATTGTGGATATAAGTACATGCATTGTATAGACTCCCGTAGAACATTTATATTTCCATGTTCATGTTGTTTTACCTCAACTGTACATGCTTCTCGAGGACATGGTTCTAATGCTTCTTTACAAACAGGAGTCAAATCAAACGTGAGTCTATATATCGCATATGGTGGTTCCTCCTAAAAATAAAAGATAAGCAGATAAAAATTCGTACTCTAATTGGTTAATTCAACCAACTATACAAATCTTTCAATTTTCACTCCTATTGATAGTAATAATTTATTTATTAACAAATTTGTATAAAAACATACCAATTTTTGCGCATTAATCAGGTTACCGCCCTTGTATGTATGATGCGTTGGAGAATCCTTATTCAAAGAATTTAAGGCACTTTGAATTAAAGGTTCCGGTACATTTTGTACTGACTTATTGATGGAACCACAGGATACAAGGATTAAATGAAAAAAAAATAAAAGTAAAATGCGCGTTACGAACAATAATAAGCCTGCCATCTTACTAAACGCACATTACAGTCACAGTTTTGACCTTCAACTGACGCAGCTGATTCTTCAACTACTTCTTTGTATCATTCAGTCGAAAATAATAATTCCTTTTAAACTCTTACTTAATCATAATCGTTCTATTTCATGGAATATATTTATTCCAAGTAAATAAAGTCGTACTATGTATATATATACATATGTATATTTCGAGTAAAGTTATTAATTAAATTTGATATTCAAGACTGGAGGAAACAATAACATAAATCGGTAATCTTTCGGGTCATACAAATACATACGTGACACATGCGCTTATATCTTCAGAGTTTCTGTGTTTCATTTAACAGCACTTTTATTGCAATACAGATAAGATAAATGATATAATTTAATATTTGAATAACAGACATATATTTTTATACATATTCAAGAATTATATGTTATTTTCTAACATTTATACTGAAAAATAATTTATTTAACACGAATATTTTGTTGTTGTGTTTTAATGGACATTTTGCAAAAAATACGTCAGAGTAATTCAATAAAGCGAGTAGATTTGAGTTTTAAATTTTAAACATTTGTGTTAATGTATGATAATGAGTATGCAAATAAGAAGAGGAATAAGGCATAAATATTTGTTTCTTTCAAATTCACCTATATCTTCTGCTTTAAAAATTTAGTTGGAACAATACAAATTTCAACAATTAATTATATTAACTGGTATATGTAAAAGAATGTAAGTTTGTTACGGTACTTGTAAGTTTACAAAATTTTGATACATCAGGCAAGGTATATGTAAGATAATGTAAAATTATAAATAACCAAAATTAACCTTAACCGTTTACATGACTTATATTAATATGATCAAATTTTACATAACATCTATAGCATTTTCCATATCGTAAAGTCAATTGTTCGTTTATGCATTTAAATTTTTCCGCCATTTTTAGAACTAAAGTTAACCTATTCTTCAGTTCCGGTTGTCAGATAACCAGGAGCAGCTGTTTCGTCGTATTCAAGTGATTATCTGTGATTGCTGTAGTGTCTTCGAAAATACAAAAGTTCGGTGGAATTTTGCAATAGTTTATTTGGTGTACCGCTAGCTATTAAAGCACCATTGGTAAGCAAATATATTGTTTATTTTGATATATTTTTAAAGCAAGTTTATGTACTTGAAAACGAACAAAGTACCACATTGCAGTGAAGTTGTATCGATTTCTTACATTGTCTGACCCATGTTAAAGTATAAATTTCCTATTAGATAAACTTTTTAAAACCATTCTTTTTACCAAATTATATTAGTTTTTATCGTTGAAGATTTTTCTGAAAGACAAATACAATGTACACATATTTATTCATTTACGGGAATTAATTGTACTATAGATATAAATTTATATGACAATACACAAACATGGTGATATAAAATTATAATATTCAAAAACAAAAAACTAAATATGTATAACATATAATATTATACACATGAGATTGATCTCATTGTAATATGTATTATAAAAGTTGTGTTAATGTTTATGTTTATGTGAGAATTTTTCTTGTCATCAAAAAATAAAAATGTTTTAACATACATTCAGTATAATTTTTAAGATATGTATATGTCTTACTTGTTGATTGTATAATTTTTCATGTTTAGTTTATATTTTCTTTAGTACACATTCAAAAAGATAATTATTTTATACAATATAGATAGCGAAAAGGTAAGCACAATCAGAAATATGTATTAAAAACATTATTCTTATATTTATATTGATTAACATTTCATAAATATTTAGTTTATAGCATTGTCTAAATTTTAAGATACCTAGCAACACATTTATGTTTAAATTATTGTACAATTTTACTGACATCTAATATATCTATCTTACCAATGAAATTATTGTAGAAATTTTAGCTACATAATCTGTTATTATCAGTACTAGTTTTTCGTAAATGATCTCCCTCATTATAAATAACAATTATCGTTAGAATGATAATCATCATGAATGGTCTTTAAACACAGATTTAAAATAAAAGGAGAGTGTTTGAAAATAACGAATAATCACCCCCTGTTTGTTTAATGGAAATGTATTAGAAAATTCTTGAATAATTAGAAAATCTTTAAATAAAAGATTGCACAATTGTAAAATTCAATATCAAATATGGATTCCCGCGTTTGGCATCCTGCCTTCTGATTGGTCCTTTCCTTTGTCGACGATGTTTTACCCCCACCAATGAGAACGATCGCTGTGCTGATACTCTGCGACTGCTCGTTGGTCAGTAACTGACTACTAATCAGGGAGTCAGGGAGATCAGAGCTTCGAGGATACATTTCTCGTTAATTTTACCGGTTCCATTTTTAAAAGAGTGTTGGTGACAGTTCTAAAATTGTTCGTTTGCCATTCTTTTTCGATAACAAGCCGATCGTAAGATCTTCCAGCAGCGGAAACACCCATCGAAGACAACTTTATTGACGAGTTACGGTTAGTAATAAAGCTGGGCCGGTATCATTGCATAGCTTTTTTTATCTTACAGCTTTGACACTAGCATAATAGAATCTTCCATCGTTGCAAGGAAACGTAATCCCTTGTTTTATTACACATATCATTTCAATAATTTATAAATGCAACGATATTATTGTAATTCGATTTAAAAGGTTTCTTGATGTCGTTGCAACGAATCTCTACATGTAAAACAATGAATTCGCAGATCATCGTTTTTAAAATCGTACTTTGGAGCTATTAGAAACGTGACATGCCTAAGATAGATATTATTAAACGCTCGTTTGAAATGAAAAAGTAAGCGAATATCGTCGATTAATTGCATATCATGTCGAATAAATTTGATATTTGTTGCATACCGTGCAATGAATATGAAAGTTTATTTCGAAGTAGAAGGTCAATTGTCAAGGGATAAACACAAATCGATATTATCTCGATTTCCACAATCGTCTAGTAAAATGATGTTGCGTTAACGTTAGCATGTCAGATCGACAATTTTCTTTATTGATTTTCAAATGTCACTCGTATGCGTGGTTTTTTTACGGTACTCGTAAGAGATTATAAAAAAATTTTTTCTGTATTTCGTCACGATGATAAGTATCCTCTATTGGAACATCTGACGGTTTTTCTACCGGCATTAACAGCTGAGAGTCATTGAAAACCATTGACTGAGTGCGCGTGTACATGCGCGTGCTCTATCTGCGTCAGATATACGTGGGAAAGAGAACGAGAAGATATCTATGACGTCAGAATATTTGTATTTTTATTCTTGTTTCTCAGCAAAGATACACTGCGTAATTAGAGTGACGCATGTATGAGTCATCGGGATGCGGAAATGCACTAAAATATTGATTTCCTCACCTGTTCTATGTATATTCATTGCGGCCATTGTTTATTTAGACCTAACCTAACATACGATCTCATAGAACGCTATATGTTGCGAAAGATGACACCACTGACAGTTAGTAATAGTTGTATTCGTTCCATTGTAAATACTAGAGAGAAATGGTTATCAACCATTAGGATATTCATTTAGACCTAACCCAAGTTATAGGTTAAACATCGCGAGGAAGATAACACTGTACTGTTAACCATAATTGTTTGGCGTTTATGACAATATAAAAAGTAGAGAATTCATTGTAAAGTTAATTGTAGAGGTTAGATTGATATGCTTGGTGCCTCACGTGGTAATAAAATCGTTATTTCGCTGAATGTATAGAACTTACCTAATGTTTTGTCCATACGGTTCGAGTTGCAACATCAATTGCAACTAATCGCAATCGCGTATGACCGGTTAATTATTCGATCTACGTTTCAGCAGTAATTTAAGGTTCCTCAAGGTAGTTGAATAAGAGGAACGAAGCCTACGCAAGATAATTCGAGAATATTTCAAGCTTTTATTAATGTAGCAATATATGTAGCCTCGGTAAATGGTTCTTTCTTATATTTATGTAAATTCTCAGATTAAAAAATGTTGAAATATCGAGTGTACAGTATCGCGCACGGTGGGCTCTAAGAAAAATGCTCCTCTACATATATAACTGACAATATACTATTTTATATACGCCATAAGATTCGCGACGTGTCATGCGAGACGAAGCAGAACTTATTTCACAATGACGATTCGGTTTGTTGCTGACACAACCTTCGAAAGACATAAAAAGTATCTAGGTGGGGGTTGTTATTGATTCACTAACATAGATTTCCTTCGAACTTAGTCGCTCTCCATTTCTTCTTTATCGAATACCAATATCTTGTTTGTTTGTGATCGAGAGGGTATACGTGCCGCGTCCTCCAGGCCCGAGACTAGTCGTCCGTGATCTTGGCAAGGTGTACCCCTGACCAGGGAGAAACGACGCGGTACCTTTCACCCTGGAAACGAGCCAACTTTGTCTCGAGGGCAAGGACAGTCTTCGTGCCATAATTTCAGTCGTTCGAAACTAGCCTAATCGAAGGATAATCCTATATTTATTGTCTTACATAGAACGTAAGGACACGCGTTCCTTTTGTTCCGCTGCTTTTATTTTTCTTCGTTACAGAGCTACCTTATTTGCCGGTGATTAAATTTACAAGTGCCAATTACCATGCTCTCGTGCTGTCGCAATGCATTAACGAGATCTCGTGGCTAGATTTTGAACGCTCCACGGATATACCGTGTTCGCGTTTCACTTGGGTATCAGATTCAACGAATTCGACAAACCTCGTCCAGGGGATGAAAGTTAGATACCTTTCGTTAGCGAACATTTTCGTAGTAGCAAATTTTTTAGTAACTGTCTAACGAATTAAAAAAATTTACCGATCTGGTCAGCTTAATGACCACAGCATTGCTCGATAAACAGGAGATCCGGACTGAAATTCCGGTCCAGTAATTCGCTCGGCCGAATATTCTTCTTTCTATAGTATATAGATCGCTTGAAGGTCCCCAGCTGGTTGGTTATCGTGCTACCAGGAAGAAGTGGGCGGCTGTCCAACCGATACGTATAGTGCATGTACAGTGACGCGTTTGGGGTAGTCTGACCCACCACCCGCCCATTCACTCGTGCCGCTTAATCTCCTTTATTTAAGTTTATTTGACCCAGAAAAATTCTGCTATATATAGATTCGTATTACAACTTAATTCTTAAAGTTCGTATGATGAACCGTGAAAGAATTTTGTAAACCACAGTGTACAGTAGAAAAGTCTGTGTGTCGATATAGCGCACTGGCGTGGAGTGCGGACGGGGTTAAGGATAGACAGATTAATCCGAAGCCGGTCACCCGAGAGTAATTCGATTGTGTGCCCTTGCCCTTAAAAGCATACGTTAGCGGTGGCTAGAGCAACTCTCTACCATTAGCTTTCCCTCTTGATTTCAATATTTCAGACACAGCGTACTTCGTTATTTACTCTACCAGCATAGTCTTTGCTAAAGTTCAGCGGGGATAGTACTTCTATCGCGAGCATTAGGTACATGCTAATCAGTTCGATCCGAATGTTAGTTTACGTTACTGTTTACTTAATCAATGTAAACGAGACCTTAAACTGTCAAAGCGGTAAGTTAGGCGTATGGCGGGGAGGTTACATTCTCCTACACTACCCCCTAACGCGTTGCGGCTGCAACGACTTTTCAAGGTCTACTGTGGGTTACTACCGTTATTCTAAACTAGCGATGAACAATTGCGTCCTCGAGGGCGCGATGCACGAGCATGCAAGCTCACTCGCGAAGTAGGTTACGATTTTCGATTTCTTTCGGGCGAAATTTATAGGTGCTTTGTTTTTTTTTTTGGAGAAATTTAGTTACGTTTTCGTTAGGGGAGTTTCGGGTGCTACGCGTTAAATCGTAACAGCATCCGTTCTGGTACGCGCAGCAAGGAAAGTTTGAAGGGGCCGTGGAAAGAGGATAGAGTAGAGAAAGACGAAATACTCGGAGGAGAACGCGGTCGTGCGTCTGCGCGTCAGTCGGTCGGTGGGTCGGTCGGTCGGTCGGTCGGTCGTGGTGTATTGATTTTCGCAGGAGCTTGGCTACACACGTATCTCCAGCACGTAAACGCGTATACATGCATCCACGACGACCGACTGGCTGGCAGCTCTTGCCAAATCTCTGCGTAAAATTTCGCAATCGCGGATCCTTGATTCACGGTCGCGGAGTCTTGATACTCTGTTAGCTCTCCCTCGTGCATCTTTGCGAAGTACGTCTTTTCTTCGTCCACCTCTCGTATACTTGCTGGATAGTAGCTTTTCTAGGTCCAGCAGGTGTACATACGTGCAAACTCATGCGATAGTTTTAATTTCATCGAATCGTTCGTAGTTTACTCGAGGCTTAATGAATAGGAGCTAGGCTAATCGAGCGTGTACCCTTGAATTGTTGCAGAATCGAAGTTCAAGAGGCGTCGAAAAGAGAGCAGTGTCAGCTAAAAGGAGAGCCGAGAAGAGAGGTCGAGGAAGAAAGGTAATCGGGCACCAGACAAGATGCCTGCTCCGACATCAGCTGCGGGTGCGGTGGAGGGTGGTCCACCTCGTACCGAATTGCAAGAATTACAGCTGAAGGCCGATCAAACTACAGATGAGGTACGTGACTACCTACCTCGTAGTCATACACCATCGAAAGAAAACAACATATTACGTTCTCATCCGATCTTTACACCTCCAGCAGACTCGGGGACTATGTAGCCTCAGAAGTGACCGACGAGTAACACTGCGATTGGACTCGAAGAATTTCGCTTGTTCTTGATATTTTGCTTTTCTATAATAACCTATGTATGCCATGTAATCGTCGGCTAATTAATCGGTAACAGTTTTGGACATGGCTCAAGAATTAGGACTATCCAGGAATTAAGGACTCGATTAGAAAATCTCAAAAAATGGAGTAGATTCAAATCATTGTCTATAGATCGTAGAATGCAAAGTTAGTGACAGTATTTATCGTACTTATACTGTTTTATTCTTATAATTTCTTATAATGTTTTATAACGATACTCCGCTTGACGGTATTAAGTGTAGCAAATTAAACTGCAGAAATTTGAATACACCAATTACATTTGATGTCCTTTATAACGGAGTGTTTCAAAGGTCACATGCTCCCCTTGTTGGATCGCGATTAAAATTCATCTCGTAATCCTGTGATATTCGAAGGATTAACTCTGACTTATTTTGTTGCAGTCTCTGGAGAGTACAAGGCGTATGCTGGCATTATGCGAGGAGGTGAGTTCTACTCGTCCCTATGAAAAAAAAACTGATTTATTCTCTTCTATATTTAATACGCATTTAACCTTCATCCTCGATCATCCTCGGAACTAATCCTTTTGATCCTCGTTACAAATAGCGATCTAATTCCCGGTGATTCTTGTTCCTACGATGTCTGTCTCATAGAATAGGAGATAATTGTCGCTGATGAATTTCTTGTTGCGTGTTTTTTGATCGCGGCTAAAAAGATATGGGCGTCCTGATCATTGTCCTTGGTAAACTGTGCTATCTAGATGGAATAATTCCTTCTAAAAAGATCAGTAGAAAAAAAAAAGATGGAAACGCGCTGGAGAGAGGTGGGCAAAATACTATTTCGGTAAAAAGTCCAAAAAAAAAAGAAAAAAAAATACAGGAGCGAAGACGGTGTGTCGATGAATCTGTAAGGAAGGGCAATTTCTTTTGTGCGAATTTCCAACGAGTGAAAACAACGAAGAAGTTTCAATGTGTGTACGAAAAGAAAGGTCAGATTTATGCGGCGTGTTAAAGAATCTTGAAATAGTATTTGACCCAGCTCCGGAGCGCCAGAAGCATCCTTCACTTCCTTCCTGTGTCTCTCGAACGGTATAACGTCGTTCAACGACGGAAGTCAAACGAAATAATAATGGCCGTCCGGGGATATCGTGGTATTGTGTGTTTTTTGCACGATGAGACCAAACGGATCAATTTTCCTCTCGAAGAGAAAAGGGAGGAAAGAAAGTAACGATAAAGAACTATCGCAATCGGTGGCAAATGCAATTATTTTGTACATTACGTTCGTTCCCCGATGGGATCGTTGCGAATGTGTACAACGGAAGAAATTGTAAGACGACGCATCGACGCGGTCCGAGAACGGTAATCCGCGGCATGAATGCACGTCGTAAACCTGGTGTCCTTTTTATTTTAATATTTTTTTATGGAAATAGCTTCCGCTATTTTATGGAGTCCATAAGAAAACAAAGATAATTTTCTACGGTAAAATGGAAGAGAATAAAATACACGGTAATTTATTAGGTTGATGCAAAAGACTTGTACCCACTTTAGTGTAATGACAAAGTCACGGAGCTTTTGAATAATTAACACGAATTTCTCGATTTATCGGTTAAGTTGTTGCATATTAAATTTTGAAACGTAAGAAATGTAGCATGATACGATGACATAAAGTTATTGCACAACAACACGTATGACGACACGTATATTTTATCGACATTCATAAAATAGAATTACTGGAAGTTACTGGATAATTTTCAATTTTACAGAGTTTGACACGATTCGACGATATAAAGGTCAAAAGGACACTTTTGCACCAATCTATGTTAACTTAGCGTAAAAGGAAGAATATAAAAATAAGCAGATACGTGCATTCGTGTTCGTTTCTCGTGTACTCTTGTCTACGTTCTTCAGCTGTCCGCATATTTTCTTCCCATGCATAATTTATTCGTTGTCTATGCTCGTATCTTCGATATATCTATTCTTCGATATATGTATGTACGTCTCTATAAGTGTGTGCGAAATCTTTAACTGTGTATATCCGATGTCTTTATTCTTTATTCCTGTTTAACTGGTTAATTAATTGTCGAAGGAGCGAACGCAATAACCTAAATACAATATTTTCTTTTCACGTTTATTTCGACCTACAATTCTTACGGTAAAAAATCTCATACCGTTTTCATAATTATGCGGTATAAATTGTAAACGAAACGAAAAGATGCGATAATATGAGCCAGGATTTAAAGATTGTTGCATCGCTCCATTCTAATTTCTTTTGCTACTTATCTGTGGCTGCACTAATTAGCACGTGTCGCATTTCGAGCACTGGAGACGACGACCGACTATTTTAGTGTACGTACTATACTTTATACACGCGGGACACCATTGGAAAGCTGTTTCGTATAGCCCTCTGCTAATCAAAACTTTGGAACGGAGACACCAACCCTCGCGTTATTGTTCAAAATTAACCAACGTTAATTTACTACAGTGAGAGGCAAACAATTTAAAAAAATTCTGAATTTGTGATACTTGTACTACTTCGAAGTCGAAAATTTGATATTCCTGTCTTTCGAAATTCCTACATTTTCAAATTACCGAGTGTCATTGTGTCAAACAGTAATCTACGTAACTCGAAGATAACTTTCGTATAATTATCTCGTCGGAACACGAGCGAAGACATTGCGAGACAATGAATTTAAACGATTCCAAAGTTTTAGTCGGTAGCGGATGATAAATAAACAGTGGGTGTACACGAAACTGTTGTCGATACGTGAAATCGATTATTCTATCGATGCGTAATGGAGACTGGACGAACGAAACCCGGATCGGATAAGGACAGTTGCTAAAAAAAAAACAAAAAGAAAATACTGTTAATGCTACCAGTGGTGGAGGATATTTTTTTTTCAGCAACGGTGAATCCCGACAGGGTCTTTGGAAAGGACGCTACTTGGGAAAGAGAATCGCTCTTGACGCGATATGATTTCGAAGGAAAGAAGAAAGATCGATGATCACGCGGTACCATTTAATGATCGTCATCTTGTACACGTTCACGGGAGACTGGTGTGCTTCAGCTTTACTTTTTCATGCGTTCTTTGCGTGAAGTACTTTCAATTACGGTCGTAGCGATTATGACAGAGTAAAATAGGTTTTTGTTTCTGTTTTCTGTTCTCTATTTTTACTCCTGCTCTTCGTCCCCTGCCTTGTAAATTTTTCCATTATTTATTTCGTACTACTTCGAATCGTGAAACGAAACAAATTTTGGCAAACTGGAAGTGAGTTGCAAATTAATCGAATAAAATGATTAACCGATGCTTGTTCGAAACGTTCAAATAATCAAAGAATTCGTTTATTTAACGTAGTAAAAACAGGTATTTACTGGAAAAATTTACGCGTACCAATTCCTGTTTCTGTTATTTCCGCATTCCCCGTTCTCGTTCTTTCTTTTCATTTTAATTTCTATTGTGCGCTCCATTCCACTTATCTATTCGACGATCGGTATTCGAAAACGATCTATTATATTTGCTCTTTCACATATTCAACGGAGCTATCTGCCGTTTCTTTCCGATAAGTTTCGTAACAACTGTGAGGCAATTTCACAGTAGGGTTGTCGGAGCTGAAAATTTTTGGAATTTACAAGAGCGAACGCGAAGAGATACAATCAGCATTGCCAGTATGCATGAAAACGCGATAAGTCTAACGATATAAAGCGTGGCAATGCAACTAGAATTCTATATTGGGAAGTTTATATTGGGAGTAAAAATTGAATGACGAAACCGATCGTCGATAAAAGTATTCGTCTCGATTGCGACACTTTTCGAGAAGAGTTTTTCCCTTTTTCCGAAAATATTATTTTCAAGCGACGACCGTTAGAGGCCAACCGAGACAGGTAAATGACAGTAAAGCAGCAATAATAATAATACTCGCGCGAGAAAAATCGTTTCCCCGATGACGAATCGAGGAAGCTAGTACGCGATATTTCAGCATCGGTGGCCGCCAAAAAATTCTGTCGCTGCTACCAGTTGTATCCGTTTGTTGCTGGCTGAACCGGGCATCAAACATTGATATTGTCCGTGTTGCTGGCTGTGTATGTACGTGTATCTTTTCTTCACGTGTGCGGTGTGTGCCCACGTGTGTGTCCGCTTGCTTACACATTCGACAGTTACACTCTTTGGCTTGCTACGATCGCCCGCCTGCCTGCTAGCAAACTTTTTTCCAAAGAAACTTACACTTGATCACTCGCTGTAACAAGAGTTTTTTTCACGCGAAAGCAACGAGACTCAATCGTCCATTTTGTAACGGAGACGATCCTCGTTGTTCAGATTAGGTGTAGATTTCATGAGAGAAGTTTGCTGTCGACACGCTTACAAAGTTCACGAAGGGAAACTCGCTCGTTTTTCATAATGTGCATCGATTAAATTTGTTTTCGATAAATATTTACAAGTTTCTTGGTAGTCGATGAACTTTTACCTGGGTGCAATTGCAGTCGTATCAACGTTCTACGTGAAACGTAGTCTTTTGCGGAAGAAATTTTAATTATGTAATTTATTTGACAACTTTCGAGTAAATGTTTAAGAGTAATTTGCACGTTAATTATATAAGAATTGCAAAGATTTCGTGAACTTTGCCGCCTGATTGGCTTGGCTGCCTGGCTGACTCTGTGTGTTTGCCTGTCCTCCACGAAGAAAAAAAACACTGTATCATTTTCCCTCTTTCGATGCATCGTGCTGTCACTTTTCCTGCTCGAAATCATTATCGATGCTCCGTAATTAATCATGCACAGACATTCACTCACCTACTCACAGCAAACACAACTTGCGTAAAAGAGAGGAAGCTGATCCAATTAGGAAGTCGATCTAACTTCCAGGGACAAGCTGTATCGCTCTTTGCTCACGAGGAGACTTTCTCAAGTGTTCGTTGATATTTAAATGAGCTTCGTGGAACGTTTCATATTAAATTTCGAAGATTCTTATCTAATCTAGGTAGCATGAGTCCTTTCAAGAAAATGAACGTAACGTTGTTAGTAAGATTGCTATTTGGAGTCTTTCTCTGCAATTCCATCAAAGAAATACTGCAGATGTACAGAAAAATATATAAATACGTAATGTCTTCGAATCTTAGAATAATCGAGATACTTAAATAACTTGAATATTCGAACGAAGAATTGATTTTGAAAAATACTTGAATCTCCCTAACAGCCGTGCAAAAATCTTGGCGATATCAAGATTTATGATGGCACAATAGCTCATTGAAATATCACTGTCACCCTAGGAGTCTCTTTGTCTCTTTGAAGGACTCTTTGTCTGACAATGAGTCGCCAGCCTCATGTATCTCCATATGTCATCCTTCCTCCTCGATTCGTTTTGTTTGCTTTCCACGGATTCGTCTTAATCTCTTGCCAATCATTCTAGTTTTTGTTCGTCTGTCTGTCTGTCTGTCTACCTACCTATCGTTCGTTTGTTTCGCGAAGAGAGGGTGGCGTTCACCTGTACACGTATCACTCACCGCCGCCACCACCACCACCACCACCACCACCACCACCATACGTCCGATTAAACCACTCTCGTTTTACTCTTTGTGTGCACGGTGTTTGACAAAGAGTATTTACCTGAGAATACTCGACACAGTGACTTTGGAGCAGTGTCACGTATAAACATTGTCGCGATAAATATTCCGGTAAATACTCCGAGAAACTACATACCACCACCTAGACAGATGGCTCACCCCCTGTCGTCACGATTTCTTTCTCTACGGGTACTTCATGCACATTTTCCTATGCGGACGAATGCGCACGCTTCTCTTTCTAGCTGAACGAGAAAAGGAGCAAATTGGTTTGTTTCGTTGTATTTTTTTTTCTTTCACTTCCCGGTGGATGAGCATGAGAGAGTTACGTCGGAAGCTCAATCCCTGATTATGTGACTTAATCAAGTATAAACGAGACTATTGAAATATAACTTCATCGAGGGTACTTTCGATGCACGTTATTAGGGATGAGGCAACTTCGGCGTAAAGTCGATAAAGGACGCCTTGCTATTTCTAGTATTTAAAGGCATCAATTTGCGATACCTTCGTGTCGCGAAATCCTGTCGCGTATCTTCTAAAACTGATTATCGGGTTACATAATAGACGGAGCGAAACTATAACGAGACTCGGAACGAGAGTCTATCGTAAATTAGATGTTGGTGCATTCCATGAAAGTTAGAAAGTCTCGTTTATATTTGCTCAGTCGTGAGAATTTGTTGCGAAAGTACGAATTTCCTTGCAGTCTCGAACAGTTTCGACCTTCCATTAATTCCTTTGAAAATTTTCTCTTTTCTCGTCTCCGTCCCGTTCGTTCACCTGGATCACGAGGAACAACTGGAGTGCAGAGGTCGACGAGATCTCCGGCACTCGTGGGTCGCTTCGAATTGCAAGGGAAAAGTAAAAGAAAATTGAAGAAAGATAAGTATCGTTTTGTTGAAAGAACGATTAACAAAGCTCGCTATTCTTCCTCACGGTTGACTCGGTCGAAAAGCCGTCAGCTCCTTTTCTTTGCTCTTCTTTATCTCTGTCATTCGCCGCTCTCTTCATGCTCTCCTTTCCTCTGTTCCCGTTCGTCTACTTCTGTGTGCGTGTGTTCTACTTTGCATTTATCCAGGTAATTCTCTCGTCCGTTTGAGTCCCGAGATTTCGCTTGCGAGCGCTCGCTACCGGGTTAAAAGAGGCAAAACTTGTGGACGGACCCGTGTCTCGCGACTCAAAACGACCGAGACCTTTCGTTTCCGTTTTTTTGTCTTGCGCATATATACGGTTTATTCTTTTAACGATATATTAACTATTATGTGTATCTGAAACTGTATTCTGTGTTTTCTCTTCTCTTTGTTTCTTTCCTTTCGTTCTCGAAAATTTTCCGATTCCGACATTCTTCGAGTAGTATTCTTTCTATCACTCTTTCTCTTTTCTTTCTTTCTACGCTCTTTTTTCAACTCGTTCGATGCCATTCCGTCGCCGAGATATCCTTCGCGTTCGAGAGAACCGAAAGTATCGTCTGTCAGCGACGGCAGAGTAACGAACGAACTTTTCCTCCCAATTGAAATATTAAAACAGCGGTTTTGTGTTGCTTTTCACGGAAACAGAGTAAAAAAGAGTACGTACCATAATAAAAATAGAGAAAAAAATAATAATATAATACATAGAGAGAAAAGAATCGATAGAATATACAATCTGTGTGCGAGCCTTCACGCTTGTAAACGAAATCTCGATTAGCCAGAAGGAAGATCTAACAAACGATAAAAAAGTAAATAAATAAACCTACAACTACGGCGACGACAGTTACAGAGCAACAGGAACAACAACTACAACTACAACTACAACAACAACAACATCGTCATGATCGATAACAACATCAAGAACAACAACAGCAACAACAAGCGACAAGCCTTATAAATAGAGATCGAGAAATATACTCATTCGAACCGAGGCTATTATAAAATAATAATAACGTGTCTCAAAATCCGTATACGTTTCGTTGCTTGTCTACCTGTCTGCCCACCTGTCTCTGTATCATTGGCAGGATCTATATATGTGTTTATAGATAATTAATAGAATTCGTGATGCGTCGTGAACGCGTCCAAATGGCAAGAAATTAAAGACAGCGTCGCATCCTTGAGTCCATCGAGAATACTATTAAAAAAAGAAACGAAAAACAAAAACAAAAAAAAAAACGATCAAAAGATCGATTCGATTAACGCGCGTACAAAACAAAGCCCAGAGACCCGGTCAAGATAATTATTATTATCTTGCTTTTTGCGCAGAGATACGATTTATACCCTAACTCTATAAGCTTGCTTTCGCCCACTTCTCTCCATCGACTTCCGTTACACCCTCCGTTCTCTTACCTAACGTAATACTATATACTACTACTAATATACTACTAATATTACTAAATACTAACTACTGAAAAAAAAGAAAAGAAAAAAATGATACAACTCTCTAACACTGGTGGTGGTTGTCTGTGTTGTGCTGCCTCTGTCTGTCGTAGAGCAAGGAGGCTGGCATCCGTACTCTGGTTGCACTCGACGACCAGGGAGGTGAGTGAATCGCTTTTTAGAAATATAAGTAAACAACAGGAAAAGGTATTCCCTTACCTTTTTGTTTTCCTCCTTTCACACGTACACGAACACACAGTAACACACGGTAACACTTGTGTCGTGCCACACCCTGAGCACCAACGAGCTTCTTTCCTTTCTCCTTTTCAAACGGATCTTCGAGATTTTTCATCTTTTTAGGAGGGAAGGCTATTTTTTGCGAGTCGTTCGATCGTTTCGTGGTAATGGAACGATCCGTCTTCTTCCTACGGTAGAAACAGTTTCTTTCTTCGAGAAGAAGATCTCCTAACTTTGCTCGTCCGAGTTAGGATCACCCGAGCGTTTCAGAGAATGTCTATCGCGACGAACGTTCATTCGAACTAATGTATTACGCGCGATTCCAGCTTCCCCTGATTAAGGGAATCTACCCTTGTACTTTACGTACGAGGATGGAAAAACGGTATTAGGTCAGTCCTGTCCAAAGATGTCTCCTGAGAGACAAATGACATCCCCCTTATTATGCGCCATGGGTATGAAAACGATAGCCGGTTATGAAAGCGTTGTACGTCAACGCATTGTGTGACCATGGGTTATATGACCACGCGTTGTGTAACAACATGTAATACGACGATGAAAGAACACAAAAAGATGATCATAAGGAAAGCGTACGATGTACGAGACCCTTATTCTGGACAGGCTTGACCTACGACCTGCTTTCGAAAGAGTACCTCACGTTGCATTCGAGTATACATTAGTTTGAATTAACTTTCGAACGTCGTTTTGAACGCTCACGTGATCCGAGCTTTATACTTAATCGTAACTACTTATTCCGTGGGTCCATTTCCTTGGTACAACTTACGGTCTGTATTCTACACCGGTTCATGTTACGGTTAAGTACAAATGGATCTTAATCCGAAGTAATCGAATGGCAATATGGCAGGGGATCGAATTAAAACACAAATTAACGTTCATTTATTGGGCCTAGTTTTCTCTTTGGCAAACTAGAAACGAATGAAAATAAATAGATAATGAAAACGTTCGAAACGTTGCGAACGAAGATAAATTGATGTTTTGACTGAATTTTTATTCGTACTGCCATTCGTTCGAATGACTATTTTCTTTCTTTAATCGAATAACGTGGTCGAGAATTTTTTTTTTTTTATTCACCGTGTTCTTTCAACTCGAAAGAAAATCGATAAACAGTTCGCCACGGTCGCTTATCTCGAGAACACTCTGGCGCGACCTCCTGACCTTTTTCACGAAACAGAGAGAGACTCGGGTTGCACGATTTCCTTTCCTTTTCCAATATAGACGATCGTTTTTGGATTTTCACCGATGTTCGACACAACAACGCGTCGCTTTTACGTGGATTTTCACGGGTTAAGCGAGTCAGGAGGCGCAAATTGGTACGCCGTTACAATGTACAGGACGTCTCAAAAGAGAAGTACACCTCGTGAATTGAAAGCTCTTCGTGGCAATAAAGTTTAAAAAGATTTTCATCGCTGTGCAGTCTATAATAATTACAATTTTTAATGTTATTAGAAATGAAATAAGTCTCGAATTTGAAAAACTTTGATTTGTTCCCTTCGACTAAATTTCGATCTGGAATCAGTCGCATTTCGGAGACGAAGTTATAGACCGCAAAGCATGAGCGAAAGGCCTCGATGTTGCCACGAATAGCATTTGAAAAGTTCCGAGGTGTGCGTTCGTATTGAGACAACCTGTATATTTACCTTTCTTTCCTCTACAGTTTTTTGCCCTTTCTGTTTTCCATCCATCGCGTTGATTCATTACGGGTCGTCGGAAGGCGTTCTTTTAATAGAACTTTCTATGTACCGTGAAGGAACGCCCTCGATCGTATTTCGATCGATGTTGCTGTAGGTTGCGCGGTTTCCCTGTTTTCTCGAGCTTCGATTCGGAACATGGATGCTCTGGGACTAACGCAGACGGATGCGGAGTCATTTTGACCGATAATTACGTTCTTAACGATTCACTCGCGAATACAATTCTGAAATATATTCTCTATGCACACGCAAAGTGAAGGTGGGTCAAAGTAACTCTGCACCTGCTTGCCAGGGTTGATCGGTGATTAGATGGTTTTCTATTTTTTTTTTTTTCACGGCCGTTCGTTGACTACACTGCCACGAAAGGAAACTTGTAGAATCGTACACGCAACTCCCTGCTCGATGAAGTTTTTGAAAAAAGTGTAGCAGTAGATTCGCTTTTTTGAAAACCGGTTAGAATACGTGCAATATTAATAGCGGAAGTATCAAAGAGACGCTTCGAAAATTGCGGTTGACGAAGAAAAGCGACAGCCAACTACCACTGTACAGATACTACAATTACTACTACTTACTACTACTACTACTACTACTATTACTATTACTACTACTACTAGTACTACTACTGTTGATACTACTTTACTGTCGTTTTTACGATTACTAACAAACTATTACACCACTAACACTAGCTAATAATGGTTAACATTTGATCTTAACTTTGCCACTGCGTGTCTCGTGCAAAAGTATTGGATTTTAATGTATTATCAAATAATCACTTGGTATTTTTTGTACTGAAAGAAACCAAAATTATCCAACGATTCGCTCTATTGATAAAAAATTGTCCTAAAACTGTTGCACAAGATCACGAATGACACTATCACTGCTATTTACTAAAAATATACGACTAAACACACTATCACAAAACGTCACTCGCTGGTGCTGCTATTTGCTGCTGCTATTGCCAGTACACGAAATACGAGAAAAGGTCGGAAATGCTGTTTATACTCGAATCGAATTTGTACAGAGCATCATACGCGAATGAAATCGACTCGTAAAATGTCCTGTTTGATTTCTTCGTCCCTTTTATGTTCCTCCGCGTCTCTTTGTTCCTTCGTCCTTTTCATGTCTTTTCTTCTGATAGCCCTTTACTTCGTGCTTTCTCTTCTCTCTCCCTATCTCTCTCTCTCTCTCTATTTATCTATCTCTCTATCTCTCTTCCCTATTTCTCGAATAACCTATTCTTTACATATAACACAGCAATTTAAAAAGTACTCGATGCGTAGACGTGTATCTCGTGTGTATATGTATGCATCTCGACTAGACGCATACGTCTGTATATTTTGTCAGTCTCTCTCTTTCTTACTTCTCACAATTACACGCGTTCTTCTTTGGATTGTGTACTTTGTTCAATTTTTTTTTGTAATTTTATTTGTTATTTGGTAGCCAAACACACGAAGCTTTTAGCTGTGTCGCTTTCAGTCAACGTGTAATTACGTACATATTTATATACATGTATATATCTATCCATATACGAATATATACATATATTATTATTATTATTACTATTATTAAATAGATAGATAGCGTTTATATATGTATATATATGTGCGAGATTTGTCGCGTGTGTATACGTATATAAACCTGTATACATTAGTGTAACTACCTTAACCAAATACCTAATAACTCGTCTTTAGAGGTAGATGTTTGTTTCTTTTTATTCTTTCTCTCTATCGTAACTTTCGTTTCCTTATGTAGATATGCATATACGTGTGTGTACAGGATGTGTTCGATGGAAAGTACACCGTGAACACTGCGAATACTTCATATTCGGAGAAATAAAAGGATTTCTGACTATTCTCGAAAGTTTCCGCGTGAAATTTAAAACGTGAGCAACGCGGACATAGCGGGACATATTTCGTTATTTAGTTACTTGTAATCTAGCGAGTTTTTCCAGGCCAACGCCCACTTTAGATTAACGCCTTCTAGATGGGTTGCACCGCCTACTACGTTAAGCTTTCGTTTAATCTACTCGGTTTGCTCGGTTATATTTGTATCGATCTATTTCGACTTATTCTGTCGCCTCGGTATTACCTTCTTACGTACGAACCACCGTTGAAGCGCAGACGTCCTTTCGTTTCTTTCTCTATGAAGAATTTTCAATTTTCGCGATGTATATCTCTTTCGCGACACCTTGTATACATATATATATGTATATACTTTACACGTCTTTGTATGTATGTACATACATATACATATATATTTCTCTGCCTCCACTTCGGTTTATAATCCTTCTGCATCGAACTTGTTTGTCGACCGTCGTCTTACCAAGTAGGTATTATTGCCCTCCGCTTGTTATCTTATAAATTGACACCGTCGTCTACGTACATGCGATAGTGCGATTAGTCGAATACCATTCGAATCAGACAGTAGTGCTTTTGGTTTTTGACAGAGAAAGCAACGACGAGAGAGAAAGTTAAGCGGCCCAAAGTAGAATAATCGGGGTCGCTAACCTTTATTTACTTTTCTGTTCTTTGTTCGCTCCGGCGTGTACAACCGCGTTCAACGATGCCCTTCTTTCTCTCGCCGCTTGTACAAGTAGTAAGAATTTCCACTCCCGTCGAAAGAGGGAGGAGTTGATATGTTTAGTTCGAAGCGGAAAGGTTTTAGATATTCTCGTCCCTTAACCGCTCTACTAGGTACGGAGAAAGGCTGTCGCATGGAGAGGCGTGTCAAAGGGCAGGACCTTCTTCCGCCCTTCTGGTGCACTGTCGTTGGTCGCGTGGGCAGGTTGGGAAAATATTATGTTGATCGCATTACCTGAACTAAAGCATTGACGAGCGGAATGAGTGGGAGAAGGTCCCACCTATCAGTCACGCCTCCTTGTCACGGTGAGGCTTGAAGCGAGGGTCTCTCCCACTTACGTAACGTACTTCCATTGGGCAAGTAGGAAAGTGGGAATATTATAACTAACCTACTTATCCAGCCCTAAGCGTCGGCTAATTGAGCGAGTGGAGGAAGGCCTCGTCCACAGCCACGCCTTCTCCAATGACAAAGAAAACCATCGTTGCACGCGACTGTACACACGTCGTAACGAGTTTTGATCCTCGAATGCGTGAACTTGTCTACGTTCTCGTCTCCCCTGATGCTGTGGAAATTCGGTATCGTTATTTGCGGAGTCATATCACTTTAGTCAGTGGCGATGCGCATGGTGTAAGCAGACTT